CGAGGTACTAAGTAAGACTTGAATTTATACCGCTACAAGAGGGAATGGTTAGCGCCCAGTTTCTGTAACACTCCAAAGCTTTATTCTCAAGATTCTCAAATGACACTAAGTCCTTATACATCCAGATAACTATAGAAACAGTGGTTTGCCAGGGTCAGTTTGAAATCGCTTTCCAGGGTACATTTCGACAGCAAGAACAGAGCAATTCCAAGTGAAGTAAACAAGCCAAAGGATTTTGCTATAGTAGCCTGCTAAATTCAAAAGACGCAGCATTCGCTTGGGTTCAGTAATTTCCTGACTAAGTGTGCCTCACCAACCTAAACATTAAAACGCTAAATTGTCGAGTGGGTCAACAGTAAACCTTGCTGCAAAACGTTGTTTAGCTGTGTGGTTCAGCCTGTAACTTCGGAATTACAGGATTGGGTCCTGAGTGATCGACTTTAGCATAAAGCTATTTGTCACTGAGGGCCTGAATTTTAATGCTGGCATAAGGACAACCGATTCGGTTATTGCTGATTGGGTTGCTAGCTATATTAACGAAACATTTTCGCGCAAAATAGGCTGCCTTTAAAACTGACAGATTATTTTTGCCAAACTATTGGGTCAACCGTCACTGTTAAAACAGTAAACCAAAACTCCAACCTGCTCACTCTCTACCTCCCTAGACTTTGCTTTTTTGGAATTTAAAATGTAAGTCGTGGCACTTCTAGAAGAGGTTGGCAAGAGATACACTCTGATAGGGTTCACGAATAGTTATTATTCATGCAGTCGTCAAAAACTGAAGTGTTTTATGAACGCATTACGTAATAAATTTGCTGATTACTCTTTGAAAACCCACGACCAGTTTTGCCTTTATTGAGCACATTCTTTGAGTTTTCGTCAACGTTATGTTCGAATCGAACCCGAATTGCATGAAATTTGACGCATAAAATAATCTGCTACCAATTTGTGAAAACCCACGACCAGTTTTGCCTTTATTGAGCACATTCTTTGAGTTTTCGTCAACGTTATGTTCGAATCGAACCCGAATTGCATGAAATTTGACGCATAAAATAATCTGCATACCAATTTGGGGATATTCACCTGAAACCTGGCTGAATCTCTCGTTTATGATATTCCTCTTTAAATGAATATACTGCACCAGGCCGTCCATGTTTTATTTGTTGCAATATTCCTGAAATTGTGGTAGACTGTGTAGTCGCATCACACTATTCATAACGTTGCTGAAGAGCTTTTGGTTCCCTCATTAGTATTGTATCCAATCTACACGGCATATCACTAAATCTGGAATATCACACCAGCTGAGATTTATGGCGACCTGGTACAGCATAGTCATCTGAAGGAGAATATCATAATCGAGATATTCGTCTTGGCTCTAGGTGAGTCCCGGCAAGATTAAATTGGTATGCAGATGAGTGCATAAATGACATATGTTTTTTGTTGTCTTCGATTAAGCCCTACCCAATGGCTGCTTCTTTGAGGCTTCTGTGGATTCTATCTCACTTGAATGATCTGGTCTTGTTAGACTGAGTGTGTAAACATGGTTAGAAGCCCATTCAACTAAAAAACTAAGGTATGTTTGCACTGATTAACCACTTCTGTTCAGCACTGTGAGTCCATTCACAGTGTTATTTGTTGCTGTATTCTCCATGAGACGTAGTGTTTTCCTCACACGTCTCGACATATCTACGGTTTCAACAAAGTCATCTATTGTTCATGTCATCACTGTTGCAGACAGCAAGTTACACAACGCCAAAAATGTAGGCAATTGATTAAATGGTTCCCAAACAATGGAAGAAACTGAAAATCTGTCACTAAAATCAAACGGGCAATCGATTTTTGGATAGCCTAACCGTATTCGCACCAAAATAATGAGTATTCAACCCTCATGTGTTTAAAATATTGCTGACAAAATCACAAAGTCAAAGCCAATTTATTCTCTTTCTAGTCCTTAAAAAGATAGTTGAAGAGAACTAGACACAGGTAATGAACAGCATTCTACTCCGTTAAACAGCTTAAATGGTGTGGAAGGTAGAGTTGTTGGAAAACCTTAGCAACTTGTCTACCTAACGGTGAATACTGTTAAATGTACAATCGAAGTCTATTCGATATTTGGTCCAGACAGTTCGATGCACCGGTCGATGAGATAGTGAGACAAAACATTATAATCCGCCCTTACTTCTCAGTCACGGACAATAAGCAATAAACTCTAGCAAACTATCAACGAGAGGTTTGGGTGTGACCTAAATTGAAACTATGGATAATTAAAATATTTCCTCACTTTGCTGGGTCTACCCCAGTCATCTAATTGACCAGATGTGACCGGTAGAGTAAACGAAATTCACGTCACTTATAAGCTCTTCTACCAGACATAAGCGCATTTGCATATGCAAATAAGGTTATCTGAAGGAAAGAGATATATACTTGTTTAATTAGCTGGAATGTAAACATAAATTAGATTTCAATAGCTAAAGGAGAAAATAATCGGTTCCAGCTATCTTGGGGTATTAAAATAAAAAATTTTACGATTGTAGACAGTATACTGGGAAGAAAATATATGTAAAAACATTGGGAGTACTTATTTTGTGGATTTTACTCGCGGTTCCATAGACTTTCACCCAATTATTTGGGCTTGGATACGCACATACATATGCGGCTGTTTTATTTATAACAAGAAACATCAGCCGATTGTATAAGATGTTGAATAATGTATAGATGGTTTACAAAAAAGGCCGGGACAGATTTCGGAATTCGCTACTGAATTCCAAGAAACAACTACATTTAGAATAATGAATAATAAAGTAAGGTCATGAACCATGCTATTTAGATGTTGCTATTATGGTGTTCATTTCCAAATTCATGCTCCTGGATTCAACTCAACTTAAGTCATCTATGTGCTACCCAGCTCGCCAAAAGGTGGGTAGGGTACGACATCTCGTAACCAAATGCTCGTAAATCAGTGGCCTAAGTGTCGTGACTTCCATGAAGAACTCCACTGTCACTGACAAAATTGCTCGTTAGAGTTGATGTGAAATACACTAATAATATTAATGCATTTTTGTAAGCATACCAGTCGATTGTTTTTCCACCCAGCTAATGCAGCAAGAGATCGGGTAAAAATTACCTCGACGTACCCTGCTATCTGCATTTGAGCGAATAACTTCAGTCCATTATATCATCGGATGATCGAAAACAATTTTGATCATCAAACTGAAGAAAAAAAAACCCATTCTTAACACGTTTATGTCAGAACCCTGGTGTCACATCCGGTAATAAGACCCAGAAAAACACGTTGACGCACATGAAGGGCAAATCTATCCAGTAACGGCAATGTACGAGTCTAAGTGCGAAAATCGGGACTTCAGAAAAACAGCTGACTAGTACTTCCAGCAACTACATATTGAATTGTACCTGGTGCACAATCTCATTTTAGGAATAGTTAATTTCGCTATGCCCAATTTATGTTCTAGCTTCACAGAAGTTTTCTGCTGTTATTTTGAATAATAGTGTAGTGAGTCTACATTGTGAGATGTCCCTCTTACGCGTACAATAGTGTTGGGGCTTGTAGGGTATATGTGCGAAATAACAATGCTTTTCGCAGCAAAGTGTATCATCACTTGGAAGTCAATTACGTAAGATGCTGAGCACAGTAGTGTAGATATCGGGTCTTCACAGAAGTTTTCTGCTGTTATTTTGAATAATAGTGTAGTGAGTCTACATTGTGAGATGTCCCTCTTACGCGTACAATAGTGTTGGGGCTTGTAGGGTATATGTGCGAAATAACAATGCTTTTCGCAGCAAAGTGTATCATCACTTGGAAGTCAATTACGTAAGATGCTGAGCACAGTAGTGTAGATATCGGGTTGGTATGAGGATGAACTGTGGACAGAACGTTTTCAAAATGTACTCATATACACCCTAACAACGTTTCAACACTAATTTACCTGAGCCCGTGGGAATAAAGAATATATAGAAACCTCAGAAAATGGGCAGTGCTGGATTATCAGGCCTTGAAAGTTTTGGTTGGATGTCCGTTCTTCCTGATAAAGCGCAACAAGTGTTTGTTTCCTGGGTTGTTTTCTTTATGGTACAGATGTACGTGTTTATCTCACTGAGTGGATGTGCAATAGTGAAATACTGCTTTTTCTTGTAAGCCGAGTGTGTGCAAACATCATCCAAAACAAGCTTAGGAAACATTAGTGGTAGCTTTGCTTTACAAAATAATCCCAGACTTAAATAACGACGTCAGAAAATTAATAGCAGAACTCCCTTGATTTATCCAAAATATGGACATCCTAAAGTTAAAGTAAGAAGTAATTTGTTTGAAATTATTGTACTAAATTCGCTTTGTAGAATATCGACAGTGTGAAGCCGATGCCGGGTTGTCAATAAATTTGAGCGGATATTCTTTTAACAGACCTTGAGTGTCGGTCAAAGCCCAACCCTTGGCAGTCTTTGAGCTGCTTAGCTTAAAAATATGGCAGACAAGATGTCCATTAAAATTCACTTCGCCCCTTATGTTGAGATTTGCCCAGCTTGCTGGCTAGTGTAACTTGTGTGAGTGGAGGAACATGTGAATAATCAGGTTAAATTTGCTTAGTCATCGATCCTTGCAAAGACCTGATGGTCCTCAATTCGTGTCCTGAAGCTTTTACTGAATGTCTAAATTAATGGTGTGGTCAGATGAAAAACCTCAGCAACCACTTGTCTATTGAGACTTATTATATCGGTGTATGGAGATGGAATATGTTCTAGGCCGAAATGTCCGGACCACACATCCCTTGGCCAATTAATGTAGTTGGTATGTTTGATTTGGAATCAAATAATAATGTTTTTGGTGATAGAAATGTACAGACTCCTGAACTACGACTCTAGGTCTCATGGTCCGCTCCTCAGATATAATAACTGTTGGGTTAAAAATGCGTACTTTCTAGAGTTTGCGCAAAAAACCTAGCAAAAAAGCTCGCACATAATCATTAAACAATGTGGATTAAACTTACATGGTGCATCGTATACCCGAACTCGCACACATTGTCCATATATATCCAAATCTTCCTCGATATTTTCAAATCTCGGATAAGTTCCAAACACCTGCTTCCCAAAGTTTAACATCAGCTGACTCTTGCCCGTTTTTCTATCCCCAATGAGGCAAATTTTTACGAGTCTGACCATATTATGTACATAGCACCAGGTGCATTCACTTTTTCCGGGCAACGTTAAGGCAGGTATTCGCCACGCATACTACTCGCCATCAACATGTTGCGGCGGTTTGTCATTGGTTTAGGCTAACGGACCAACCAGAAGAAAGCCGGTAGTTGATTGGCCTTGTCGTCCCAAAACCGCACATCTGTGGAAACATTGACTCATTTAGTTTGCCAGAGTGAATTTTGATCCTAATGGACAACGGCCCTCGACGGTGTATTTTTGCCGATACTCAGTTTAAAACCCACTAAAACGGACTGGAATGCGAGATAATTAATGTAAGGTTATCCTATATGAAGTCACCGATTGTTGAGTTGGCAGAGGAGTGCACTGTATCCAGGTCCATAGCAGTACTTATTGGAATTCGTACCTCTTCATACGGTAAATACATTCTTTTATTGTTCTGCGTTAAATAACTATTTCTAGTGCGGAGTGACTCTGTACTTATAAATAACTTTCAAACATTTTTTTCTAAATGTGTTTCAGTATCCCCTAAACTTCTTATTGAGGCGACACACATTTGTTAACCAGGACAGAACTCATTCTCAACTAAATCCTTCCGATCGTGAGGGTACTGCAACCTATGTTAGGAACTAAAACAACACGTGAAGATACTTTTCATCTTGGACGTGGTCTTTTCCAGTCAGACTGACAAAACCCTTACGGTAGCCCGTGGAGGTTTGCAATGCGCGATGTATTAAAAAGAAATCCACAAAAGATCATTGTTGTGGCTTTGGACTTACTCCAGTCGCGGCCACCGCAACGCTGTGCATAAATTGTGTTAAAACTGTGCATTTCTATGAATGAAGATGAACTGTGCTGGAAGTGATTGGTCAAGTCCCCAAAAGTTCAAAAAAGTTCACTTCGCAAGTAAGCAAAGCTTTTGTGTGTAGGTTGCATTGACTTTTTCTACTCACAAAGGAACTCGTAAATGTACTTCTTCGAGTTAGGATGAACATATGCAGAAGCAAATGTGATTAAATCCAGCTTAGTGTACGTACAGGCCGCTGTGTGATACGGACGGCATTCAGTGTATTCTAGGTGGCTGTCAGTTTGACGATGAATATCCATGGAACTAATCGAGCGCATTCACCACAATGGTGACGCAACCAGTGATTTCAGTGGACCAACTTGTATCATAGTCAACTAAAGCCCCAACTCAGCCACAGCGAAAAAAGTGGCAAAAAAGTGCCCTTGAATATTGGATAACCAGCATCCGGGTATGAATTTTCAGTAATTTTATCCCCGGAAGCCAGCAGGACTGTTACCAACATTGCAGGAATTTGACAGCATCTAAGGTTTGTATGAGAAGGGGCTACCAGTCTCACATTTACTGTTTTTTAAGGAATGCGATTTTAAACGTACTGAAAACTGTGACGAAACTTGACGACAGTGTCGACAGCATCAAGTTAGGGCAAAAGTAGCAGTATTTAAGCTTTGAATACACTTGAGATTGCCAGACGACCTAGGGATGCAATTCTCTACGAAAGGCATCCTCATGCGCACTGTTGTTCAAACGAAGTGGAGCGCAGTATGTAACGCCATCGTCTGAATATTTTACACGGACTCTTGAATTGAAAAACGATGGCTTGATCCACACGAAGACCGTAAACCCTCTGGCTTGACATAACTATTAAATTCGCTGTAATTTCTTGCTACTGAGAAACATAAGCTTCAAGCCTCAAACACGTCATGCGTTTTCTGAATTTCGACCACGCAAATGTGAAAATAAAATACACCGACGCTATTACCGCTGGAAGCGTCTGTTATCTAACCGTTTTCCAAAAGGATGCACTTGCTATTTGCTGTTGGCCCAAAAGCATCCACCTCGCTCAGGATTCAAACAATGGTGCTGAGGCTTTTGCCTCGGCGTAACAAAGCTAGATGAACTAAAGCCACCACTATCCATAAGAGTCTCCAATAAATGCCACGTAATGTAAGCCAAGTGCTTTGTCCTCTTACCTCTATTGAAATGGCGATACAGAAGACAGGTTTCTGAGGACACACTGAACGAGTTGATTGTTAGACAATTGTACGCTCCAAGTATTTGTCTCTCAATGACGTGACCACAAGGTTGATAAAAATTCTGTAATAGCGAACGACCGGTTTTGTCCTTCCTGGGCTCATCACACGGACGCTGTCCCGGATTTTCCCTCAACTTAACCTACTTAAACTAGACTTGTATGACATTTTAAAACCACACCAATTTGGGCGTTGACTTGTTTTTTAGAGGACAATCAAACGAATCATGGATTTTTCGCTTGCAGAATTCTTGAACTAAATGTGCTGCATAAACTATTGATTTGACTAGGAATTATCTGTCTTCCCAAAGGAACCAAATTGGTGTACAAATGAGTGTGGTTTGCTAAATCCACCATTCTTAATACTGCTTTAGTCCATGCAGACTGACTTTTGCAGAATAGTACAGGTTGCAGCAGTTGTCTTGAGACACCATCTTGGATTGCTGTCCTTCCCTGGTAATACATTTGCCAACTATCCCATGGAAATCTTGATGGCTTGACTTGCCGAAACCTACTTCAATCTTTCCGGCACAACCCGACAGTATCCTTTTCACCTCCTACCTGCCTAAAAATGAGAATACCAGTTGATGGCACTGGCGTGCTTTGGTTTTAAAACCAAATAACCCAAATAAATATTTGGGTCAATCCAACATACCGCTTTTGAACTTTTGGCTTGAAACTTCGGACGTCTTAACTGTCTCTTCTTTAGTTGTCTAGATGCACCCACGTTCCAACTCCTGAATTTCCTATACTTTGTTCGCACAGAGTTTGTTAGCACTTAAAAGGCACACCTATAATAGAACCCATTTGTCTTGCCTTGCTTGACCTTCCAACTGAGAGATTACCAGCTGAGGATCTGTTACCACGCTCTCGTTTGATATGGACCCCTTGAGTAAAGGATATCATGTACAGGGAGACTACAAATCAGCCGCTTTTGGCCGAAATGTTTGAACTTCAATTACTATCTGGCAGGTCATGGATTTTATTCACTTCAAGAATTCATGAGGTACATAATACTGATAAATTCCTATCAAGATGAGAAACCGTGGAGTTCTCTTGAAATTGTGGTACATAGTAAATTCACGTGCAAAAGGAAAATTTGACTAAAATATAACTATCCGTAGCCATGGTGGACCAAAGTTATTATTAGAGAAAAGAGAGAGCCAAAATAATTTGCTGTGTGGAGAGCATTTCTCGCGCCGTATAAGTCCGAATTCAGTAGGCCCTATATGCAGAGGAACTTCTTGGTGAACATTTAAATCAAGTACATGTGACAAATTTAAGCGAATATAAAACGTATAGTTGTTGGCTGATTATAAAGTGCCTATTTTAGTACGGCGAATTATCAGATCAAGGTCTCCCGGTAGTCCTTCTTTGTGAGGATATTAAAATAATGGAGGGAAAGTACTAGCAAACTCACCGTCAAGAAGAACTACTTGTATCTATTCTTCACCGGTTGGCACTGTGTAGAAGATACAGTCAGTTAGAACAGGAAAATGGCACGTTTTTCCGCCAAGTGAGACGGATTGAATCTTTGGACACATTGGTGACCGCGCGTAGTCCTCTCTACTTTAGATAAGCTGAAGGATTTTAAGTTCCATTAGCGACTTGTGCGTTATTTCCTTCTGTAACGTACTGTCGGATTCACTAAAAAGTTGCAAATTATGATGACTGCCTAGAACTTAATTGTGTCATTTGGTGTTTTACTTGCATTTATCAACAATGCTCAAACTATCATCACCACGTACTGCATTATGTTAATAAAGGCGGAATGCAAGATCCAGTTAATACGGACTTTATAACAATATCCAACGCTTAGAAATGTGCAATATCCTAGAAAAAATAGCTGGACAACCATAATATACCACACGATCAAACTAAGCAAAACGTAAAACACTAGCAACAACTTGGCTGGGTATTTTGAAGTGTGAGGTTTGGAGCTTCACGTCTCATTCTGGAAACGATTAATTAGAATTCGGATTAACGTGGACTCCATGATTGAATTTGATTGCCCAAGCACTTAATCTCCCGCTGTGAGTGGATGTGTACAAAGGTGTTCAAGAAGTTATTACTTGCTTCAAAGTGCAGAACACACGTTTATCGCTTCTTCGGGCATCCTCGTTGACCCGGGGATGAGTTCCTACTGGGACGATGGTATTGTACCCTCTGTTTTCGGAGCTGATAAATTAAGCAGGAAAAGTTGGCCATCTGTCAATAACTTTGCCTATGAAGCCTCCAAACCGATGGTTTTGTCAGTATCACGTCCTTCAATAAAAACTTGAAAGTTAAAAACACTTGTAAATATTTCCCGGTGGTCTGTTTTACGATAGAATTTGGATGCAGGTACTGTACCAAGCAGAATTAATCTTTTTTGTTGTCCACATCTAAACTAGCCTTCTCACTTAAATATCCTCGAATTCCACCATATCCCCATGAAACTTCTACGTTTTTTGGACTCGGTCTGATTATCTAGCATGATTCCAGAAAAATTTACCGGGTAAGTAGCGGGAGAAATTCAGTGTCCAACTATACTGACCATAGTGAATAAAAAATTTCATGAATAGCTGCTCTTTATGTATGTCTGGGTATTGTTGAAAGAATTTTGTCCCCCTGACTTTGGACTGGACGCTGTGACAGAGGACTGACAATAGGATACTGGGATATGACTTCTTCATTACAAACTCAAAGACGTTACATGATACATCAGAAGTGGTCCGCCGCGTTCTCCCCCTTGCAAACCACAGAACAATATGATCCAAGTGAACAGATGGTGAAATATTGGATCGGCTGTGCAAATCGAAGGCAGAATTCTAAGTTGCAAAACCGACTTGTATAGTGAGGTGGGAATTTGGAGGCTCTCTAACAACCCGTCTCATAACTGTAATCTGGTAATCCTCTAAATCAAGTTTTAACACAACCTCTTGTTGAAATAGGCCTACTTTCACAGAGCTATCATCACAGTCAGTGCAACCGAGCTGAATGTTACATTTCAAAGTCGTATTG